ATGCCAAGTGTGGACCAGATCCATCATTATTTGAGTTCACAGTTCCATCATTGGTGGGTTTAGAATGCTCTTTGATTGTAGGTGAACTATAAATCCCAGCAACTACAACTCCCAAATGACAAAATACAATTCCTTTGAGTGAAGGACATGCATTGGGTTGTTTGGTGTCTTGTTTCCAAATTTGGTTTCAATTCGTCCAGTGGTTTTTGAGTTCTGTGAATACCACAAACGAACATTACATTTTTATTTATATAGAAGATTAGAAATGCGGTGCCATTTTCTATTTAACAGTCTGGACAGAAATAAACTCTGCGCTTGGCCAGAAACACCCAGGTCGTTGCCCTTATTTTTGGGCTTCTCCATAGCTACACACTTGGTTGGGTTTAGTATTGATTTCATTTGAGCAGAACTAAACTCTGCACCTTGATTTCCACATGGTAGCATTCTAGACCAGTGCTTCTCAATCTTCCTAATGCTGCGACCCCTTAATACAGTTCCTCATGTTGTGGTGACCCTCAACTATAACATGATTTTCATTGCGACTTCATAACTGTTATTTTGCTACTGTTATGAATAGTAATGTAAGTTTCTGATATGCATGACATATTCTCATTCAATAGACAAAATTTGGCACAAATGCCTGATATGTCCAAATATAAATACTGGTGGGTTGTTGTAGGTTTTTTCGGGCTATATGGCCATGTTCTAGAGGCATTTTCTCCTGACATTTTGCCTGCATCTATGGCAAGCATCCTCAGAGGTAGTGAGGTGGGGTTGTGGGGAGGGATTGATTTTGTCATTTGGGAGTTCTAGTTGCTGGGATTTATAGTTCGCCTACAATCAAAGAGCATTCTGAACTCCACCATTGATGGAATTGGACCAAACTTGGCACACAGAACTCCCATGACCAAGAGAAAATACTGGAAGGGTTTAGTGGGCATTGACCTTGAGTTTAGGAGTTGTAGTTGACAGAGAACACTGCAAACAGTGATAGATCCGGACCAAACTTGGCACAAATACTCAATACACCCAATTGTGAACACTGGTGGAGTTTGGGGAAAATAGACCTTGACATTTTGGAGTTGTAGTTGCTGGGATTTATAGTTCACCTACAATCAAAGAGCATTCTGAACTCCACCAGTGATGGAATTGAACCAAACTTGGCACACAGAACTCCCATGACCAGAGAAAATACTGGAAGGGTTTAGTGGGCATTGACCTTGAGTTTAGGAGTTGTAGTTGACAGAGAACACTGCAAACAGTGATAGATCCGGACCAAACTTGGCACAAATACTCAATACACCCAATTGTGAACACTGGTGGAGTTTGGGGAAAATAGACCTTGACATTTTGGAGTTGTAGTTGCTGGGATTTATAGTTCACCTACAATCAAAGAGCATCCTGAATTCCACCATCAATGGAATTGGAACAAACTTGGCACACAGAACTCCCACAACCAAGAGAAAATACTGGAAGGGTTTAGTGGGCATTGACCTTGAGTTTGGGAGTTGTAGTTCACAGAGAACACTGTGCAAACAATGATCGATCCTGACCAAACTTGGCACAAATACTCAATACACCCAATTGTGAACACTGGCGGAGTTTGGGGGAAAAAAACCTTGACATTTTGGAGTTGTAGTTGCTGGGATGTATAGTTCACATAATCAAAGAGCATTCTGAACTCCACCATCAATGGAATTGTACCAAACTTGGCACACACCGCAATGAGTCGCTAACACCACAATGAGTCGCCAGTAGGCTGAGAATTGCGGTATATAAGCGTAGTAAATAAATAATAAATAAATAAATAAACTCCCATGACCAAGAGAAAATACTCGAAGGGTTTAGTGGGCATTGACCTTGAGTTTGGGAGTTGTAGTTCACAGAGAACACTGCAAACAATGCTAGATCCGGACCAAATTTGGCACAAATACTCAATACACCCAATTGTGAACACTGGTGGAGTTTGGGGAAAATAGATCTTGACATTTGGAGTTGTAGTTGCTGGGATTTATAGTTCACCTACAATCAAAGAGCATTCTGAATTCCACCATCAATGGAATTGGACCAAACTTGGCACACGGAACTCCCATGACGAAGATAAAATACTGGAAGGGTTTAGTGGGCATTGACCTTGAGTTTGGGAGTTGTAGTTCACAGAGAACACTGTGCAAACAATGATCGATCCAGTCCAAACTTGGCACAAATACTCAATACATCCAATTGTGAACACTGGTGGAGTTTGGGGAAAATAGACCTTGACATTTTGGAGTTGTAGTTGCTGGGATTTATAGTTCACCTACAATCAAACAGCATTCTGAACCCCACTAACAATAGAATTGGAATAAACTTCCCACAAAGAACCCCCTTGACCAACGGAAAATACTGTGTTTCCTGATGGTCTTTGCCAACCCCTTTGACACCCCCTCATGACCCCCCCAGGGGTCCCGACCCCCAGGTTGAGAAACACTGATCTAGACACAGCCAATAAATTTCTACATTAGTTTTGAAAACAAGGGCTGGGCTCTCCAGCTTAGATTAAGTCCATCTTTCTCTGCATGCAAGCTTCTTCCTCCTCAGAAGTGGAGGTTTCCCTGGGCTGCAAAATCCCCAAGGCCTTCAAGTAGAATTTGGACAACAAAACGGAAGGAAATTGGATTAAGTTCGGAAATGCCAGCTGGCTCCTTTCATGCTATAGAGCTTTAGATCCTTGAAATCTGTGCAAAAGCCTGGAATGGAGGTCAAGGAGGAGAATGGAAGGAGTCCAGAAGGGGAAGAGCAGGAGGAATAGACATCCTACCCAAATATCTAGTATTGTAGTCAGTTAAAACTTCAGTTAAGGAACAGAGTTTATGCATTCTAAGAAAACGGGAAAGTGAATTGACCAAGGGAATGCAAACAGAAGGAACTATATATACTATTAAACTAATACAGTTTAACATCACTTCAACTGTTGTGGCTCAACGGCATGGAATCCTGGGAGGTGTCGTTTCCCAAAGTCTTTATTTGTTGCTGCTAAATGGTGCTGGAGCCTCACCAACTTACAACTTCCAGGACTCCATAGCACTGACTGATGGCTGTTCCGTTGCATGCTGGGCCTGTAAAGAATTTCCTTTAGACAGGACGTGCAAACTTTGCCCAAGGAGAAGTTCTCAGAGGTTTTCCACCACAAATGATCTTTAGATGGCTTGTGAAGTATAACAAAGTCTTTTATTAATGATCAATCAAACAGAAACTTCTCTTATCTTCCGAAAGCTAAACAAATGCTTCCAGGCTTTATGCAACTGGTGGCTCCCTAATCTTGCCCACGAAGGACAGGCAACTGCCTTCAATAACTTCTTCTTTACTTTAAAGGAAAATCCCCTTTTTAACTTCTCCCAGGCTGACTGTAATCTAACCCTTACTGATGTGGGCTCCGCTACCGGGTCGAACTGCGTCTCAAAGCACCGAGTGGACCTACCAGTAAAGGCTTAGATGTTCTCCAGCTGGAGTTCTTTGGTCTTTAGGGCTGTTTCCCTGGAAATCTTTGGAGACTCTTAAGACTGTTTCCCCCCGGAAAGTCTTAAGGGTTGAAGCTTTTGTACAGGGGAAGCTTGCACACATCCTGTACATTAGCTTGCCTTTCTGAGACTAAAAAATGGCTCCCTTCCCTTCCCAATGGCCCTGAGCAAGGGGTGGGACCAAAACTTAACGATGATGGACAGGTGACTTGCCTATGGCTGCAACCAAAGGAAGCCACCTTTCTGCAGAGTCCCTGAAACCTAGGACTGAAAACAAACATTTAATACAAAGCAAATAAAGTTGGAGCTCCTGGTACAGCCGTACCAGAACAATGGCAATAAATGTGATTTCAAACAGCATTCATGCAACAGTGTAGATCAGGCATGGGCAAATTTCTGCGTTTCAGATGTTTTGGACTTCAACTCCCACAATTCCGAACAGCCTACCAGCTGTTAGGAATTGTAGGAGTTGAAGTCCAAAACACCCAGAGGGCTGAATAGATGTACCCAGGAAGATGGCGGGAAAATAACAGGGTGCAATATGAGCAATTTCAAATTCCTGTTCCAGAATTATGTGGATCCCATTGTTGGGAGAAAGATGAAGCCCGGCTCAGATTGAGCTTCTGACTATTGTGTAGCTCGCTGTCAACCTTTGCAGCCCAAATGTTGTGACACAGCTGGAATCAGAGAGTGTTTCTGACGAGGATGATGGGACTCGGGTTCACAGTTTGGTTCAAGATGTCCCTGCTATAGACAGTGAAGAAGAAGTGGTTTCCCACAGCAAGGCATGAGAGTGTGGAAACTGAAGATAGCAGCCAGGTGCAGATTGACAAAGGACTCTTGTCTGCTGGAGCTAGGTGTGAATGTTTCAACTGACCACCTTAATTAGCATTTGATGGCTTGGCAGTGCCTGGGGGAATCTTTTGTTGAGAGGTGATTAGCTGTCCCTGATTGTTTCCTCTCTGTTGTTTTGCTGTTGTGATTTTAGAGTTTTTTGTTCATTTTCATGGCTTCCTCCTTTCTGTTGAAATTGTCCACAACTCCACATGCTTCTTGTGGATTTCAGTGGCTTCTCTGTGTAGTCTGACATGGTGGTTGTTGGTGTGGTCCAGCATATCTGTGTTCTCAAATAATATGCTGTGTCCAGGCTGGTTCCTCAGCTGCTCTGCTATGGATGACTTCTCTGGTTGAAGTAGTCTGCAGTACCTTTCATGTTCCTTGATGCGTGCTTGGGAACTGCGTTTGGTGGTCCCTATGTAGACTTGTCCACAGCTGCATGGGATATGGTTTTGGTTGGAACCGGTGGCAAGACAATGGCAAGACAATGGAACCAGTCCTCTGAATGTCTTCAGAAAAAGGCTGGATAGCTCCCTGCTGTGGATGCTTTGTCTGGAGATGCTGCATTGAGACAAGATGGGGTTGGGGACCCCTTCCAACTCTGTGGTTCTTGCATTAAATATCCCATTCAGACAGATAGCTTTTTTCTTTTGTCTTTTCCAGGGAACCTGTGGCAGCTGCCTTGACCTCGCAACTCTCATCCTGCATGTGAGAACAGCTCTCCCCAAACCCGGGCTGCCCGGATGCAAAATATGCCGCCATTGACATGTGGAGTTCTCCTCCTTGCCATCGATGTGTTCTTCCTTTGCCACACAGGTAAGTGGTATTTGTTGGGAGGCATCAGAAAGAAACTTCTGTCAATTGTGGAAACTATTGTCCTTTGTGGCCGACAAATCTGGCTTTAAGAAGGAGTAACGATTCAGTACTTAGTACCTGTGAATAACCTTTGCACAATGACAGTAATTTCAGGGCTTTGTTGGGGTCTCATGCCAAATTAGGAAACACTGACCTGAAAAGTCATCTTTAAACTGCAGCTTTGAATGTCCAGTATTGTTCTGTCGTGTGCTGGGCCTGTAAAGAATTTCCTTTAGAACGGGACGTGCAACCTTTGCCCAGCAGGAAGCCAGGGGGCCCAAGGAGAAGTTCTCAGAGGGTTTCCACCACAAATAGTCTTTAGATGGCTTGTGAAGTATAACAAAGTCTTTTATTAATGAACAATCAAACAGAAACTTCTTTTGTCTTCAGAAAGTTAAACAAATGACTCCAGGCTTTTATGCAACTGGGAGCTTCCTAAACTTGCCCACGAAGGACAGGCAACTGTCTTCAATAACTTCTTCTTTACTTTAAAGGAAAGCCCCATTTTCAACTTCTCCCAGGCTGACTAATCTAACCCTTATTGATGTGGGCTCCGCTACCGGGTCGAACTGCTTCTCGAATGCCGAGGGGACCTACCAGTAAAGGCTTAGATGTTCTCCAGCTGGAGTTCTTTGGTCTTTCAAACTGTTCACCCTCCAAAATTCCTCAAAGCTTTAGGACTGCTTCCCTGGAAATCTTTGAGTGGTCTTAAGACTGTTCTCCCCCAGAAGGTCTTGATGATCTTAAGACTGTTTCCCCCCGGAAAGTCTTAAGGGTTGAAGCTTTTGTACAGGGGAAGCTTGCACACGTCCTGTACATTAGTTTTCCTTGCTGAGACTAACTAAAAAATAGCTCCCTTCCCTTCCCTACAATTGCAGGTGACTTGCCCTACGATTGCAACCAAAGGAAGCCACCTTTCTGCAGAGTCTCTGAAACCTTGGACTGCAAGCAAACATTTAATATAAAGCAAATAAATTTGGAGCTCCTGGTACAGCCGTACCAGCACAAGTATATTAGTTCTCAAATACAGAATGAACGAATAGGCATTTGTAGTGACAAGATGATACAAAGATTTGTTGAAAGAGGCAATGCATCGCAGCATTTCTTTGTTTGATGGATGAAACTTTGAATGTGAGTACCTCAGAACAGTTGGTACTCTTGGTAAGGTATGTTGATGTTGAAGCTGAAGGAATAAGAGAAGATTTTGTAGGCTTTGTGAAAAGGCATGGCCATACTTACCGGGACAGAAACGTTGCAGTGCGGGCCATCCTCCGCCACCATTATGGTCTCAGGGGGCTTCTTTCTCTCAGGAGCCCCTGGACGGCGGGAAAGTTTCCCGCCATCTGGCTGGAGGGCCAATGGCCAGTTTGCCATACCCTGCCACTGGAGAGGCTGGTGCTGGCCTCTCCGTCCTCTTGGGCAGCCTATTTATGGCTGCGCCAAGCTCCCCGACAGGCACTGGGCCTGTTTCAGCTGATCCATAAAAATATCAAATCATCCGGGCATCCCCTGGACAACGTCCTTGCAGACGGCCAATTCTCTCACACCAGAAGCGACTTGCAGTTTCTCAAGTTGCTCCTGACACGACAAAAAGAAAAGAAAAGAAAAGCTGATCCATCCCACCCACCCTGTATGCTTATTGTGTCTTGTCTCCCGGTTAGCTTGTTTTTGTTAGCTTGTCACGGTTAAAATTGTGTCTGTTTGCTGTTCTTTTTGGTCTATTCGTCACAACCTATGGTTGACGTTGGGCATGGGATCTGGATCGGGCTTGGTATCCCCCCCCATTGGAGGGGGGGGATGTCTTGTGGCGCAGGGGTGCCGAGTTTACGTGGGCCCGGTATTGCACCGGTGGCACCCTGTAGGTTAAACGGTATCGGACAGCAGCGGGGTGCCCCATCCTGATCCAGGACCCATGCATGGCCACCAACCCTCATTCCTGTTATCAATAAATTGAGTTGTGGCCGTTGTTTAACCCAACTACCTTGTGTGAGCATTTTCTTGGGTAGAATGGGGAGGTGTATCGCCCGTGCAGACGCAAGATAAGTGATATGACAGGCGGAGGACTTGCAGGCATTATTTTGAAAATACTGGAAAAATTGGACTGAACTTGCAATCCTTGTGTGGACAGGGTTATGATGAAGCTGCTAATATGAGTGGTCGTATTAGTGGAGCATAGGCAATTATATTGCAGAAATATCCAATGGTTGTCTACATCCACTGCAGTGCTCACTCACTAAATCTAACCTTAGCAAAGACTTTCAGCATTCCACCTCTCAGAAACTTCCAAGGAACAATATATCTGTGTGCAATTACTTCAGAGAGTCATTCATCAAATTGGAACTGTTGAAACAAAATATAAAAGACTGTTTCCCTGAATCAAGAGCAAACAATGTTGTGAAACCCATTGGGTTGAGCAAAATGATGCAAATTTACATTTTGCTGAACTATACAGTGTGGTGGTGAGAACACTTAAAGAACTAAAAGAGAGTCCTCTATACAACAGTGAGACTTCTTCCCAAGCTGAACATCTTCTTTATAGCTGTTAAGGCTGAATTTGTAGTAACCATACACATCCTATGAAAGCTTCTGTCATCATCCCTTCAGCTTACAAAACATTACAAAGAATAGATATGGATAGGTTCTTGTGGGTTTTTTCGGGCTATAGAGCCATGTTCTAGAGGCATTTCTCCTGACGTTTCGCCTGCATCTATGGCAAGCATCCTCAGAGGTTGAGGTCTGTTGGAAGTAGGAAAAATGGGTTTATATATCTGTGGAATGGCTGGGGTGGGGCAAGGAGCTCTTCCCTGCTGCAGTTAGGTGTGAATGTTTAGCTGATCACCTTCATTAGCATTTGAAGGCCTGCCTGAGTCTGGGAAAATCTGTTGCTGGGAGGTGTTAATCTGTGCCTGGTTTTTTCCTCTCTGTTGTTTAGCTGTTATATTTTAGAGTTTTTTAATACTGGTAGCCAGATTTTGTTCATTTTCATGGTCTCTTCCTTTCTGTTGAAATTGTCCACATGCTTGTGGATTTCAATGGCTTCTCTGTGTAGTCTGACATGGTGGTTGTTGTGTGGTCCAGCATTTCTGTGTTCTCAAATAATATGCTGTGTCCAGGCTGGTTCATCAGGTGCTCTGCTATGGCTGACTTCTCTGGTTGAAGTAGTCTGCAGTGCCTTTCATGTTCCTTGATGCGTGTCTGGCCGCTGCGTTTGGTGCCCTATGTAGACTTGTGATTAACACCTCCCAGCAACAGATTTTCCCAGACTCAGGCAGGCCTTCAAATGCTAATGAAGGTGATCAGCTAAACATTCACACCTAACTGCAGCAGGGAAGAGCTCCTTGCCCCACCCCAGCCATTCCACAGATATATAAGCCCATTTTTCCTACTTCCAACAGACCTTCTCAACCTCTGAGGATGCTTGCCATAGATGCAGGCGAAACGTCAGGAGAAATGCCTCTAGAACATGGCTCTATAGCCCGAAAAAACCCACAAGAACCTAGTGATTCCAGCCATGAAAGCCTTCGACAATACAATAGATATGGATATTTGTGTAGTCTGTAACATGTTGACAGTCTCTTAGAAAAAGATAGGGAGATGTGCATGGAATTTATGAAAGAAATTCAGGAGATATTTGAACAGCAAGATCAGTGGTGGAGTCTATGGGTGGAGAAATGAGGATTCCTCACATCTGTTCAAGGCAGACTTCTAAAAGCAACATGCAGGCAACTTCATAAACACCAATGCAGTGCTGTAGGCTAAATGTGTATGTTCTGTCGCGCGCTGGGCCTGTAACAGCTGTCTTTTCTATAGGGCGTATACTTTAAGCCCAGCGGGAAGCCAGGGTGCCTCAAAGAGAGGTTCTCAGGTATTTTTCTGAAGTGAAGGTCTTTAGAGTCTTTAATGATACAACAAAGTCTTTATTATGGAACAAACAACAAATCTTCAATGGTTCAAACAACACTTCAAGGCTTTCTTAGTCTAGTCCTCAATGGACTGGCACCTGACTTTAATTAATTGTACTTTCTCTGTAGGAAAAAGCCCTATTTGACCTCTCACAAGCTGTGCCTCATCTGTATGGGTCCTACTACCAATTCCAAATGCGTCTGGATATCGAGTAGACCTACCAGCCGAGGCTTGTAGACATTTCAGCTGGAGTTCCGTGGATCTGTAGTGCTGTCCTCCCTCAGAGAATTCTTTCAAAACCTCAGGGTTGTTTTCCCTCTGTTTGCTGTGAGGCTAAGAGGCTGTGAGCTCTCAGCCAGAGCCTTGGGACCTTTTCCCTGGAATTTCTGTTTCTGTTTCCCCGGATGTTCTTGAGAAAAGAAGCTTTTCTAGGGGACGAGCTGGTCTACGTCCTATAGTTTAGCTTCCTCGTGTGAGACTGCCCAAAAAATGGCTCCTTTCCCTCCCAGAGCCCTGAACAAGGGGCAGAACCAAAGCTTAATTATGATGGGCAGGAGGCCTGCCCTATGACTGCAAACAAATAACAGAAAGAAAATAAAGTTGGAGCTCCTGGTACAGCCATACCAGCACAGTATACATCCCATTTCTGGATTTTTTCTGCAGTAAAGGTTTCCAATAAAGGTTTACAAGGTACAGAGAAGTAGTTGCGCCAGTTCCATTGGCTGCCGGTCTGCTTCCGAGCACAATTCAAAGTGCTGGTTTTAACCTTTAAAGCCCTAAATGGTTCTCACCCCGTTTACCTGTCCGAACGTATCTCCTGTTATGAACCATCAAGAAGTCTAAGATCATCTGAAGAGGCCCTGCTCTCAATCCCACTGCCATTGCAAACGCCATTGGTGGGGACAAGGGACAGGGCCTCCTCAGCAGTGGCCCCCCATCTGTGGAATTCCCTCCCCAAGGACATCAGACTGGCCATCTCCCTTCTGTCTTCTAGAAGTAAACTCAAGACTTGGCTATGAGACCAAGCGTTCGACCATTGAATAGCAACAATGTGGGAA